TGTGTGTGATACTTCATGCATTCACGTTTACTCTCATGCATTATGTTATATGTGATATATGTGTGAGACTTATGTGACATGTGTGCTCTCTACCTTGATATATATGTCATGTCACTTGATTATGCTCATTTGCTTTGCTTCCGCGTTTTACTCCGATACAAATGAGCTTTACTTTGTGTACTTATGCTTATTTCATACCTTGTAAGTACATTGTGTTGGCTTGGATCATATAAGCATGCCTAACCCTCATTTGTTTCTATTGTCAATTGCTTATATGAACCAAGCATGTTGAAAACCTCACTCATCTTTTATACATATTTGAGGTTGTGTTGCCATCAATCACCAAAAAGAGGGATTGAAAGCATCTAGGCCCCTAGTTGGGTTTCAGTGATTAATGACGACATAAGATTATTGTGACTAACGTGTGTTTTGCAGAGGCAACTTGAGTTTGGTCATGGTAATGGTGATTGATTGGGTAATTATGGTTTTATGCCCCTATCGATGGAAATTGCTTCGGTTTTCAAAAGATGGACGACAAGATTAAGGACGGACTAGTTCTAAGTGTCGTTTGGCGTTGAAGAGACACTTAGAGTAGTTTAGGATTTTGTTTTTTTCCTTTGGCCATACTATTAAGGGGGTATGAACTAGTAGCTTGACCTAGATGAGTCTAATGGTTTAGGTGTGGTGCACACTTGTCAAACTTAGCACTAGGTAGCTCAAGGACAACCCATAGATCAGTTGAAGTCGATGTCATTCACAAAGTTGGTAAAATTTGAGGTGAATGGAGACATGGATGATGACCGGACGCTGGACCGGACGCTGGACGGACGCACAGGTGCCGCATCTGGTCAGTGTTAGCTCGCGTAGCTAGGGTGTGTTCTTCGACCGGACGCTAGACCGGACTCACAGATACCGCGTCCGATCAGTATTAGCCTGTGTTGCTAGGGTTTTCTTTTCGACCGGACACTGAGGATGTTATGACCTGACACACTAGAGGTAGCATCCGGTCAACAACAGTAAGCATCTAGGAGAAGAAAATTTTTGACCAAACACGTCTGATGGGTGGTGATCGAACGCTAGACAGAGTCCGGTCTCTGATAATTGGGCTGGCGTCATGTAGCCATTAGACACTGACTGGACGCGTCTGGTCACTTTGACCTGAGCGTCCGTCACCCTGAAATGTGCTGAGTTGGACCCCAACGAGTATGTTTTGAAGTGGGGAGTATAAATACCTCTCCTACTCGTCCAACTTAGTACTCTTACCCATATGTTCAGCTGAGAAACACCTCTGGAGTGCAAGGGAGAGCAAGAGCCTAGTGGGGTGATTGAGATTTGATAATCCAAGATTAAGGACCTCATTAGTGCATAGGGAGTAGCAAGTGTGCATCCACCCTTCTCATTAGGCTTGTCTTGGTCAAGTGAGAGCTTGTGCTTGTTACTCTTGGTGATCGCCATCACCTAGACGGCTTGGTGGTGATTGGAAACTTAGTGATCATCCAGCGGAGCTTGTGGATGGCCCAAATCATGGTGTGAGAAGTTGTGGGCGATTTACTGCGATGGAGTGTCAAAGAATCAGCCCGTAGAGAGCACTTGATCCTTGCGTGGATAAGGGGGAGCTACACCCTTGCGCGGGTGCTCCAACGAGGACTAGTGGGGAGTGGCGACTCTCCGATACCTCAAAAAAACATTGACGTGTTCCTCTTCCTCTCTTCACTTTGAGCATTTACATTTGAGCAATTCAATTCATGTCTCTATATTCATAGAATTACCATGTTAAAGTAGGATTGGAACCTAGGGTGCAAAACTCTTATGCGATAGAACAATAGAAACACTTCTAGGCACAAGAGAGTGAAATTGGCTAAGTGTAGGGCTTAATTATTACAATAAATTTAGAATTAGCCCAATTCACCTCCCTTCTTGGGCATCTTGATCCTTTCAGCAAATTCAAAACGCATTTTGCAACGCTTCGCATAAAAGCATTGTCCAAAGCTTTACCCATGCAAGCGCCTGCAACGCCTCCCAACGAAAAAAGTGTTGCTATTTCTGATATTACAACTATTTTGGGCCTATTGCAACACTTTTTGGGCGTTGAAACAGAGTCAAAATTTAGTAGTGATCTTTCATTGATCATCTTCAGTCTAGCAAGAACTTACTATGACCGGCCATCATATTAGCAAATAAACGTATTTTTGAGCTTAATGCACGAAAACAATGAGAGATTAGCTCAAGGAGTACTAAAAAAGGGTGCTAATGGCAGTGGGACTCCCGCTGGTAATAAGCAGCTAAAAAATTGAAGCCCATGTCTTTGAAATCCAACAATCATAATGCCTATAAAAATGGAAAACGAAAGAGCCAAAGTAATGAGAAAATGACTTGTCACTGTGAAGCTAAAGGGATCATACCCTGGGGATTATGAAATAACAAAAAAGTAAAAGTGACCAAGATGCAAGGGAAAAACTTTTGTTTCACATTTTCGGAAAGACCACCTGTTTGTTTGTTTACCAGGTTCGGCACGAAATCATAAACAAGCTCCACCAAGGATTGCCATGTGTTTGGCACTGACTTTCCCCCTCCTTTTTCGTAACAACAAAAACCAGAAGTAGGACGAAACCGAGAGTGAGTAGCATAGACAAGGATAGATATGTGAATGAGAGAAAAAGTTGCCTATATTCAGATCCATAATTGAGTGGATTCCAAATTGATCCAATAGGCTTTCCGTTACTGGTCCGCCGCCTCCAGGGATAATGATTAAGCCTTCATTTACGTCTCATCGTAAAGATCTATTAGAGGCTAGCCCAATCGGGTATATGTATTTCAGGAGTGATCTAATTGTTCTCCGTAGGAAAAAGAAAGCTGGTTAGAAACCCTAAACTACGGATGCAAGGGGAAAGAAGGCAGATAGGGAGGTGCTTGTCAAAGAGAACAAACAGTAACTCAAAACTACCGTGATAAATGCAATCCCTAGCCCTGTATGGCATGACCATATTTTGTAGTAGTAGTTTTTTCTCACCGGTAAAGATGGATAGTTTAGAGGACGTGAGCTAGCAGCAATAAGTTAAGTAAGGGTTTAGGGTTATGTGTTAATTGAGTTCTTTTGGTGAATAAGTATAGTTATATATATTTTGGTTCACGTTATGAGCCTGGCATTTCTCACGCACGCATGTATTGTGATGCTCTAGTTGTAGTCAAAGTTTGTGGCGACTGGTGGAGTTGATGGAATTATGGAAGCAAGCTGCCAAGCTGGACCAGACGTTGCTGCCTCACTGTTGTCTCGCTTTGGAGAAAGTTCATGTAAGCTTATTATTGTGTATGGCTCAACATGTCAAGATGGCCGAGTTGGTCTAAGGCGCCAGTTTCAGGTACTGGTCCGAAAGGGCATGGGTTCGAATCCCATTCTTGACATTTGTTTTTCTGTGCCGTGCTCTTTTCTAAATGATGATTTTTTTTTTCTGTGCTTTTGCTGTTTTGTTTTTGTTTCTTGTGCTGTGCTCTTTTCTAAATGGTTATTTTTTCCCTAAACTTTTGTGCTGTGCTTTGCTCTTTTCTAAATGAACCTCACCAGAGCTCTAGCTGTTTTTAACACAAGAGGAACAAAATGTAACTAGTAGAAAAAATTTACTGACCTTTATAGCTTCATACGTATTTTGTCAAATACTACTATGCATATACATATACTCCGTAGTAATTTTTTGACACATCTAGACTTATAGGCCATAGAAGCCATAATATCATGTGAACCCTAATTCAGGCCCTAATATTTTTTGTTTTTTGTGTTAAACTTTTTTTCCTAATAATGTGTGCTAAACATTTTAATCGACACCTTTCTATTTCTTACTCTTTCCTATATAAACCTCGATACTGTAAAGCAAAGTTGTGTCCCTTTTTCAACAAAAGAGTACTGACAAATATTTTGACATGGGGTACTCCACCCTCTCCCCCTCTCCATCGTTATTCGGACTTATACCCCGCTGAGTCAACCTTTGGCCGAATTCTTAGACTACCGAGTTCCAAGCAAAACTCAGCGAGTGGAACCGTATTTCTAAAAAGAAGATGTTCACTGAGGTTGCATGAGTGGATGCAACAAAAACCAAGATGTTGTTTGGTTGTCCATATGAGCGGATGCAGTCTACCAAATCTGAAATGCTGACATGTGGGACCACATGGTACAACCTGCATCCGCAGAGCCTGGCTCTGCTGTGAAGGCCAAATCGGCCGTACCACCCTAGCCTGTATGCGGGCGTGCATTTGCACCATGGGATGCGTCCTAGCACAGTGAAGCGGGGAATCCAAACAACCATTTTAGGTCTTATTTAGATGCGTATGTATTTATCTTAATCTACATATATTGAAGTGGATTGAAGTGGAATTAAACTAAGTATCATTCTATTCCACTCCAATACAGATAAATTAAAGTGGATACACATACATCAAACAAGACCTCACAGAGTTTATATGGACCGGCGTATGCAGGCTTGTGCACCGGAGCATCCAAAACACGACCATAGATCCTGCACTTGAAGTGCTAGTCACCCAAAACCATACACACGACTATAAATTTACTGAAGTAACAAAATGTTAGTACTAAAACTATACTGACCTTTGTACCTAGATATTTTACTTGTCAAATACTAATATGCATATACGTATGCTCCATAGTGATTTTTAAACGCATCTAAACTTATGGGTCACAGAAGCCCATAATATCACGCGGACCCTAATTTGGTCCTCAAAGTTCGATAAAAAAAAATAGCACCTGCTGAAAGCCTCTTCGATCCATTCGGATCTGGGGCACGCACGTGGCACATGCTTTGCCCAGTTTGGTAGCGCTCCCGCCGCCGCTCCCCGGGAGAATCAGCTGAGCGCTGCCAAACTGCTCAGCTCCACGCGGCTCCCCGTCGTCCGCCGGCCACCGTTGCTGCGGTGCCGTCGGCCATATCTGACGCCTTACCGGCAGTTCTCCTCGTCCCTCGCGCCTCCACGCCCGCGCCTCTCGAGTCTCGATGGAGGGCCGCCTCTTCGACAAGCCCCTGAACCCGAATAAGCTCCTCAAGGAGCAGTAAGTCCAGGGTCCCTAGCCCACGAATCGAGGCTGCGGTTCCAGTGGCCTCCCTTCTCGCCCCTACGACTCTAATTAACCCTCCCCTGCCTTGATGATGCAGATTCGTGAGCAACCTGACGGGGTCTTCCCTGCTGGAGATCGCGGCGCTCTCCACCGTCGTGCCGGTAACCCATTCAAATCTACTGCCATTTTCTGTATGCGCAAGCATGCCGAGTTAGGGATTTGACTTAGTTTTCTCCTTTCGTTCATAGGCATTGGTAGTTCTCAGAAAGTGGAGCAGCAGAGGTCAGTTCATCAGAAATGCTGTGAATTCTTCTCTTATATTGTAGTGTAAGGCGTCACTGAATCAATTCCCATGACAAATCTGCAAGTGAGATCCACTAATATGACTGGGAAATCAAATCACTAGTAGGCTGCAACTTTTGCAGATTTATTACTGTGGATCTGTTTTATGCAAACCGTGAATTCAACAATATAGTCCAAATTATTCTACAGTGTCAGCGTAGAATATGTATGATTTTAACTTTCCATTAAAAACTCTCCGTGTCACCCTCCATTTCTAACTTGTTGATAAGTCTGATGGTTGATGCCATAGATTAGGCCATCCATTTCAACTATACTCTGTATTTAAGTATGACCTTTTAAATTTTCACATTAACAAATAAGCACTCTCTTATTTTATTTTCCATGTATACATTTGATCTGACAAAGCACAATACTTCCCTTGTTTTGTCATGTTTTAGATAATTCTAGGAAGGATTCAGCAAAGAAAAATGATGATCAAGTTCACCCTGTTCGTAAATATTGGATGCAGTACTTCTCTACACTAGGTGTAGATTATCTCACTGTTGTATTGCCAATTATTTTGGTTTTCACAGTAAGTGACCCTTTATATTTTGGTTGTGCTTAGTCGCCGGTGTTTTTGAATTAAAAAGGATCAAAGAGCACACAGAGAAACAAACTTTGCAGTACAGTGCATAAGTTAAACACTTTTTAGTTGGAACAAAAGGAAACTGTTGATCCTTTGGTTATTCCTTGGTTTTGCAGGTCTTATCTGAATGGGCTTTTACGTGTGCTGTTTCTCTTGTAATCCTGATATCCATCTACATCATGTTTAAAAGGTATTTTGTATGAGTTATTACATGAATGTTTGTGGAAAGCCATTTTAGATTCTGCCATCTAAAGTTCATTTTGTATTTCCTTCTAGCAACACAGCCTGTGCTATTGTGTAATTGATGTAATCCTGTCCTCCCAGGTCTCAGTTTCATCTTAGAGATGGGTTCAGTCAGGTACCTTTGCTCAGGGCAGACATATCTTCTTACCGTGTCTCAGTGGTATGTAAAATTTTATTTATTAGAAAACTTGTGTCCTTTAGTACTAGAGATGTAGTAGCACCACTAAAGTATCAAAACTGATTACATAATCTGTAGGTTCTGGTGACATGTTTGTGTATATTAGCTGTGGACTTCAAAATATTTCCAAGACGCTATGCCAAGGCTGAAACATATGGTAGTGGCATCGTAAGCCATATATTCAACCAATGTTTTCCTTTCATTTTTTCTTATCTTTGTTCTTCGTCATCTCTTCATCAGTAATGCAAATTTTTAGAGAGATATTCTTATTTGTATCTCCCCATTGTTTTGTCCACACCTGTACATGTTTGGGCCTAGAACCCTCATGATGAATACAAGTGCTATTCAAGAACCAACTGTGCCTTATCCTGCTGCCACCCACCCACACACAAAAAAAAGTGCATACTTGCCACCTTCTACAAATTGTTCATACAGTCATAAAAATGTTTAAATTGCTAACTATACAGTGGCAGATTGATGGTCTGGTGACTCAGTGTCGGATATCTATACCCGGGTATCCGAGCCAAAGGATTAAAGAGCGTCACGTCGTCTCATCCGATGGTTAAAGACGCAACTACGGCCTCGTCCGACTCCGAGGGCGAGGTTTCCGCCTCGTCCGACCCCCAGGAGCTGGGCCACGCCTCGTCCGACGCCGAGGACGAGGTTTCCGCATCGTCCGACCCCGAGGGCGAGGTTTCCGCCTCGTCTGACCCCCAGGGGCCGGGCCACGCCTCGTCCGACGCCAAGGACGAGGTTTCCGCATCGTCCGACCCCGAGGGCGAGGTTTCCGCCTCGTCTGACCCCCAAGGGCCGGGCCACGCCTCGTCTGACACCGAGGATACGCCTCGTCCGGTCCCACGGGGAGGGCTCCGCCTCATCCGACCCCCAGGGGTCGGATTCCGTCTCGCCCGGCTCCCAGGGAGAGATTTCCGCCTCGCCCGATCCTTGGGGATCGGATCTGCTACCGGACCAAAGTAGTGGTCCCAGGGTAGGGCTCGAACCGCTTCAACCACTACGGCATGGAGGCGCACGCCCGGGAGCACGTCTCGGGCGCGTCCTAATGCAACTGGCGGTCGCATTGGGCCATCTTTGAAACTCACGCGTCGCTCATCGCGTCAGCAGCCCGACCTTTGTCGCGCTAACTCCTGCTCGAGCACCGCCCAACTTGATCAATCGGCGTCGATTGGTTGATCGACGCTGTACCTTGACCCCTCGTATGGCCTCGTCGAGAACCCTCTAACCATTCCGTCCGCTTTCGGATGGGACGGAAGACAAGAATAGCGCGACGCCCGCCGCGTAAAGCTGCGGCAACCAACAGACCCTTTAGACGCGCCGCCGCCACCACGATCTACGAGGTGGTCGGGACCCACGAAGAAGAGGAGGACGGTATACCTCCGGGAGCCTTATTTCTTTCTCTTTTTCCCTCTTCCCTTCGGCTGTAACCTCTGCTTTCCCTTGGCCTATAAAAGGGAAAGCAGGGCGTCCCACTTAGGACGGGGATTCATCGAACAAACTCACCGCATCACACCAGAGACTTGGGAGCTACCTCCCTCTCTCGCCAGTTTGTAACCCCCTACTACAAACTCAGTGCTAGTAACATGAGCAGCTCGAAACTGGACGTAGGGACATTCGGCCTGAACCAGTATAATCCTTGTGTCCTCTTAGCACACTATCCGGGTCAGACGCGCAATGTACAAATTTACTAGCCGGTGCTTACTCGAAACACCGACACTCAGGGTATTTGCCTAGCCTCGCTGCCGACGAACAATGTAGTTGCAGACCCTAGACTGCAGGCAAAACAACTCTGCTTGCATAGTTATGTACATGGTCTATGAACTTGGTATATGTTAGCCATGCTTAGGCTTGTCTAGGCTCTGAGATTCTTTGCTCTGCCACTTTAAAGATATATGCGTATGTGACTTTATCAGCTTGGTTCAGTGAACAGAACTTTGGCCAGGAAACATGAACCAATAGTAACCTTTGGCTATCTTTAATTCCTGTGTTTGCATACACAATCGCCGTTATTTTTTTTCTAGAAATGGCAAGCAAGAAACATCTATATGAAATAACTTTTTATTCTTCGCAGTTTTTATTTGTATTACTTTTGACCTTTTGTCTAGAAATTCTCTGTTTATTGTTTTCAGTGTTGAACCTATGCTGCCATGCACAATTTGGAATGTATTACTACTAATTTTGAAGTTCAGAAGTTGCAATGTACAATCTGAAATCATCTTCCCATGTTAATGATATTAAGAATTTGACACATGGTCTAACAGATGGATCTTGGAGTAGGATCTTTTGTAGTGGCTAACGCACTGGTATCTAGACAAGCACGAAACATAGCCTCAATGTAAGTCCTTAATTATGATTTGATATTATTTATCATAACAAAATATCTTTAGGGATACTTAATAGGCACTTAAAAGTGTGGTGCACTGCATGGCATATGTCCACTGATTCTCATTTAGTACACTGACACCTGATGCTCCATTTATCTAGTGTAAAAACTAGAACTTCTTTCACAGTTTCAATGTTTGAATTCGTTAATTTCACTGTGCGAATACATTAGTTCCTGTACCATAGGTGCCAATCAACATCAGTCTACCAGATTCGTGTGATGTATCTTACAATGTTCCTACTTGTGTTCCTTAGGAGTTTCAAGGCAGCACTGAGTTCCATAAGTCCACTAGTATTTCTCGGCTTTGCTCGCATTATCTCCACATGGGGTGTTGATTATCAGGTGCTTTTCCTGTTTCTTTGCACCAATTACCGATATTACTATTTACTTATTTCGGTGATTCATTATAACACATACACTGGTGTGTAACTGTAACGTCTTTGTGTAGGAATGCCTGCAATTGTTTTGTTTCGTTTTCCTCAATGATCTATATTATGATTTATGATGCCTCATTTCCTCTTTTCTGGACACTGATGCCCTATGTACCTTGTACCACAACATATTTGCTTTTTTGTAATACTGAAAGTGGTGTTATTGGATATCAATTTTCCTGCCGTGGTAGAGAAGTTACTAAGTAATTCCATATTTGAAGAAACTACTGTTTATTATCTTGTAGGTCCATGTAGGAGAATATGGCGTTCATTGGAACTTCTTTTTCACCCTCGCAGCTGTTTCTATCCTTACATCCATTGTCAGGATCCATCCAAAACATTGTGGCTTAGTTGGTCTGCTTATTCTTGCTGGTACAGACTTTTCCAATTTACTTAGATGGACTTTACATTGCTATAATACTTTTCTTAAAGATTTGTCTCTGTTTTTGGTTTCAGGATACCAGATTTGGCTATCTTCTGGATTGAATGAGTACCTCATTTCTGATAAAAGAAGTGCCGATATAATCAGCCAGAATAAGGAGGGCATTTATAGCATCCTCGGTAAAAAATACAGTTCTATGTAGTTTGTAATTTATTTTCTTGATATGCTGAGAAACATACAGCCGTTCAACCTTCTTAGCATGTGATGCAGGCATAAATGCAGGTGTTGCACAAGCATGTTACTAATATTTTTTTCTATTTCTTTTACCCTATTCATGTATGCTACACATAGTTTCTTTTTACCTTACTAAGCTGTACACACACTAATTACCTATAGCAATCGCGCCCTTTTAATAGCTGTACGCCATAAATTTGCATGCATTGTATTTTAAAATTGCTGTAAAAATATGCATTCCACTAATGGATACCCTCTCATGGCAGGATACTGGGGTATGTTTCTAATTGGTGTTTCTTTGGGTTTCTATCTGTTTGTTGACACCAGTTCAAAAGGCAAGAACAGGAACACAGTCATGCAAATCTGGGTTCTTTCCGCATCTTTTTGGTAAGAAACAAGGACGGCATGCTTGACTGCTGTTTTGAATATTTTCTGACTATTAACATTTGTTCACACGTCATGTTTATAGGATTTTGGCAATCATCTTTGATAGCTATATTGAGAGAGTTTCTCGGCGAATGGTAAGATACTAATTTTGGTTGACTTTTTACTCTAGCATGAAATCAATAATGTTGAAGAGTGAAGCCATCTTGGAGAATGTTTTTAAAAGTTTCTGTAGCAATTTTATGGTTTGTGCAGCCAGATTGTGGTCTTAACATTGAATGACAGGAAACTTTAATGCTTATTAAAAGGCTGAGTACAGTGTAAAAGGAGTTATAGCATTTAAATTTGCAGTCAATAAACATGATATAAAAAAGATTAATAGCATTGAAACACTTAATCGATCCCATAAAAACTACAAGGCAGTTAGACATCATGCCCAAACAATTCAGATTCCTTAACATATTCTCTGGAGAAGTTAGCAATTCTTTTCATCTTGGTTAGCAAGCAGGCACCCTCCTAAATTGCCAAGTGGCCAATGGTGCTTAACCTTTTTTCTACTCAGTCTTTAGATTGAATTGGAAGTTAATATAGCTTGAAACTTGATCAAAACATTCATTTTGCAGTGCAACTTCGCTTATGTTATGCTTGTTTTTGGCCAGAATTTTCAGGTATTGCTATTTTCTAGTATGTTCCTTCGTGCAATTATAGTACACATTCATTAGCACATCAAGTTGGTCTTTTCTTTAACATTTTCGTAGTGTTTGTATGTTAGACAGTGGACAAATATTAGACCATGTCATGAATTAATGACACAAGAACAATATGCACTTTGTATCCGAAAATGCCTACACATTAACACATAATGAGGCCAAAGAAAGCCAAGGCGGCAGGGGCAAATTAAATATTTTGTAATCTTTTGGTCAGTATGTCTTACATAGTTACATGTCATGTTTCCACTTGATATAATGTGCAGTTGTGCACGGCATGGTCCAAAATTCCATTCTATTTATGTCTTTGCCTGCTAATGTTACTGTTTTATGATTTGGGAGCAACTTTGCCATATCATCAGACCCATGAAAAGTAGGAAGGGGGTTTGCAAAGCCACGAAATTACTACTTACCCAAGTAAATGAACCTGCTTTCCTAAGGGTCTACCAACAATGGGTTTGTCTGTTTTTTTTCTTTAGTTGTTTGGTCTAGAATTTTTGTTCATGCTTCACTGTCTATGCGGACTGATTATCCAATGTAGGTTTTATCTATCCTCACATTAGCTGGGTTTGCCTCGTATCAAAAGAACTTGTTTCTTGAAGATGCATTCAGTCAAAATATGCTTGGTTCATTCCTTCTGGTAAGATCATTGCTTGCTTTCTTTACAACAACAACATAGCCTTTCAGTCCAAGCAAGTTGGGGTAGGCTAGAGTTGAAACCCACCAAGAGCCCCAAGTCACGGTTCAGGCACTTCAATAACTGCTTTCCAAGTACTCATATTCAAACATAGATCTCTAGGTATATTCCAAGCTTTCAAATATCTTTTTATTGCCTCCCTCCATGTCAATTTCGGTCTTCCTCTACCTCTCCTCGTATTATTAGCTTGGCATAAGACTCCACAATGCACTGGTGCCTCTGGAGGTCTCCTTTGGACATGGCCAAACCACCTCAACCGATGTTGGACAAGCTTTTCTTCAATTGGTGCTACCTCTAGGCGATCACGTATATCATCGTTTCGAACTCGGTCCATTCTTGTGTGACCGCAAATCCATCGCAACATACGCATTTCTGCAACACTCAGTTGTTGAACATGTCGAATCTTTGTAGGCCAACATTCTGCTCCATACAATATAGCCGGTCTAATTGCCGTTCTATAGAACTTGCCTTTTAGCTTTTGTGGTACCCTCTTGTCACAGAGAATGCCAGAAGCTTGTCGCCACTTGATCCACCCTGCTTTGATTCTATGGCTAACGTCCGCATCAATATCTCCATCCCTCTGTAGCATCGATCCTAGATACCGAGAGTTATTTTTCTTAGGCACTACTTGACCTTCCAAAATCACATTTCCCTCTTCCTATACAACTCTGCCAAAGTCGCATCTCATATATTCGATTTTAGTTCTGCTCGATCTAAAACCTTTAGACTTAAGGGTCTGCCGTCATAACTCTAGTTTCCTATTTACTCCCGCCTGGCTTTCGTCCACTAACACTACATCATCAGCGAACAACATACACCAAAGGATATCCCCTTGTATGTTCCTGGTAACCTCATTTATTACCAAGGCAAAGAGATACGGGCTTAAGGCTGACCCTTGATGAAGTCCAATTTTAATCGGGAAGTAATCTGTGTTACCATCGTTTGTTCGAACACTAGTCCAACATTGCTTGCTTTCTTTATTACTAGAAAATGGAAATTGTCAAGTAATTGAACTTCACTGTGCATTTATTTGAATGTTGTTCAATTTGCCAGGTTAAGTGAACTGAAACTTAAGTGGCTTGTTCTTCTTTCAGGCAAATATCCTTACTGGTCTGGTTAATCTCTCAGTTAACACGCTCTCTGCCTCTTCCTTCACTGTCTTCATGATTCTGTCAGTATACACCTTTACTTTATGCATGGTTACTGGCCTTGCCCATTTTTGTGGTGTTAGAATGAAATTCTGGTGAATTGTAAACTACCATTTGATATGATGTATGCATTCATTAACTTGTCAGCGAGCTAGTAGCTTGCTTGAAATATAATGATTTTTTTACAGGGAAAAAGAAAGTCAAATTGCTATCCTAATTAGTTGATCCAGTCATTAACTCTGCATATACGCTAGATCTGACTTCTTTCTGACTTGTTCACTTCACAAAATCATTTCCAAGAGAAGTGTTCAAGCTTCTCTGTGTCTTGCCAGAAGCTTTCTACTCCCTCATCCGTTCTAAATTATAAGTCGTTTTGACTCTCGTATGTCTAGATACATAGTAAATTTTATGTTGTCAAAGCAAGTTATAATTTAGAATTTACAACGGAGGGAGTATTTTCCTTCATTTCATGGCACAGCATGTCAGGTATTAATTAATACTGCTATTTACTTTTGACCTAAAGACGACACATCCACCTAGATTTGTTGATGAATTGAAGATGGTCTGTCAAGGGTTTACTGTTTCAGTATTTAATGTCTCAGTCAGAATCTGGGTTGAAGTACCATAGGTTCATAACTTCATACTGCCACAGTTACGAAGGGCTTGTTTAGTTCTATTTTTTTTTTCAAAAAGTGCTGCAGTAGCCATCATATCGAATCTTGCGATACGTGCATGGAGCATTAAATATAGACAAAAAAAACTAATTGCACAGTTTGGTTGGAAATTGCAAGACGAACGTTTTGAGCCTAATTAGTCCATGATTGAACACTAATTGCTAAATAAAAACGAAAGTGCTACAGTAGTCAAATTCCCAAAATTCGCGAACTAAACACAGCTCAACTTGTCACAGATGAAAAGTGGGTTCAGGAAAACAATGCTGTACTTGAATGTTACTTTCTGGCTCTCTACAGATGACATATAAAGAATTTGAGCACTATGACATCTATGACTTGTAGATAGTAAATTCTCATATGGAAGCCACTGCAGCTAGCTACAGTAAACCTCGGATTCAGATTTGGTTACGGATGTTTCATATAGGATATGAGTGGCAAATTTCACTTTATGTAGTCAAAGAAAACAGGTTAGAGCCATGCAGCTATCCCTTTCTGGGTTCAATAAACTATGCTAAAGGGAGCAGTGCCATTTTTGTTCTAAGCTCGGATATTTAGGTCTAAATAAAAAGCTTAGGGCCTGTTTGGTTTCTATATGAGCTTCTAAAATTCCTGTCACATCAAACGTTTGGACATATGTATGGAGTATTAAATATAGACTAATTATAAAACTAATTGTACAACTTGTGACTAATTTGCGAGACGAATCTTTTAAGCCTAATTAGTCCATGATTTGACAACGTGGTGCTACAGTATATATATGCTAATGACAGATTAATTAGGCTTAAAAAATCCGTCTAGCAAATTAGCCTCCATCTATGTAATTGATTTTGTAATTAATTTATATTTAATGCTCCTTATTAGTATCTAAACATTCGATGTGACATAAATTTTAGGAACGACTAAAGAACCAAATACCCTCTTAGTCCAAGGTGAGGCGACCTGAGATATGTCTGTTACTACTGAAATTCTACCTTCCAGATGATCATAAAGATTCCGATGTTCTCATGGATGCCTTTGGAAACCTACGATGATTGCACCTTGTCAGTGCATAGAGTTGGTGATGCTGGTTTGGCAAAAAACACATGCTTATCAGTTCATTTAGCCCCTTGATAACTATGCCCTGTTCGCTTGGCTGATAAGCTATGGCTGAAAGTATTGTTAGCTGATTTATTGGGAGAGAAAAATATTGTTCGTTGACTAAAAAAACACAGTTTATAAGCCAAGTGAACAGGACGTACATATCTGCTTTTATTAGACATGGGAGCATTTAAACTACTTGACTTGTGCCTTTGCGGACTGTACGCTTGCTTTGAAGGTGCTCCCCTCCCCTGCATTATTATTGGGCATGTTCGCTGGTTGGGACTGATGCTATTTTGGGCTGGCTGGTGCTGATTTTTTGTGAGAAGAAAATACTGTTAGCTGGCTGGTTTGGGCTGGCTGAAACCAACCACCGAACAGGCCGATTACCTCCCATGGGACCTTGAGAACCGTGGCGTGCCGGTGCTGGTAGAGAGGTTTTGGAAATGGAATGGAAGCCCCGTGGCTCTTCTTCATTTGATGAGTTCATGACTTGGGGTGACTCTGAAATCTGAACCCTGCATTCCTGCTAAGCACGGCATAATATTTCGGCTATGCTGACAGCATCCTAACTATATTTTGCCCTTTTCCTGTGAGAACTGGAATTCTGAATTTACCCATTGGGGTGTCTTTGCAAAAGCTTTTGGCTTGAAAAAAAAATGTGGCTTGAGTATGTCTACAGGACGTCGCAAGGCTGTTTAGCTGAGACATTAGGGGAGCATTGCATTGCATTGCATTGGATGCCACTCTGACTGCTAATTTGGAAACTCAAATTTTCTTGGAATTCCTGACTTTTTTCAGTGTGAGAAATCCATAGGAAAATAATTTTAATAATCATTTAGTTCTTCACGGAGGGTTTTCTATCTCTTGCTTTCAAATTAGCCCTGAGGGGTCGGCCATGTTCATTAGGCCACATTGCCCGTGTGCCAGGCTGACCGGAAGGACGGCTTTGGTGGCGAGGGTCGCTGTTGCATTAAGTCGCAAGAGGACTTAGCCCTTGTTTAGTTCGTGAAATTTGGATTTTAGGGTTACTGTAGCACCTTCGTTTTTATTTGGTAAATAGTGTTCAAATACGGACTAATTAGGCTTAAAACGTTCGTCTCGCAATTTTCCACCAAATTGTGCAATTAGTTTTTCTTTTCGTCTACATTTAATGCTCTATGCACGGGCCGTAAACATTCGATGTGACAGGTGCTGTAGTAACTTTTTAGAATTTGGGGTGAACTAAACAAGGCGTTAGATGAATTCCGTGATGCGGATGACCTGACGTATCCCACTGACCTAGCCGTGATGAGTTGCAGCTGGAGGAGCGTGGGCATCCGGTCCTCCAGCCCTCTTCTCGCGTGCCGTTTCTTCCTGCCTGTGTTCCTCTTCCTTCAAAGCACGCGACATCTTACTTAGCACTGTTTAATCCATCCGTACCGTAGCAAGCGCAGTGCGGATTGCACGGTGCCGTGCTCCGCTTGCAACTGCGACCGTACTTGCTTTGCTTCGTCATCTCATCCCCGACTCCGAGCCTGAGCCCCGACTCCCTGAGGCCCTGAGGCGACGACGATTGGCACCAACTCTCTGCCGTCCTCTCGTTGCCACTGCTGGCACAGTGGCACATGCATGGTCTGTGCCTCTTTTGCTCGCTGCCTACAGTAGTTATAAGAAACCGTACGTGATAGCAGTATATAAGTAGTAAGGGCCGGTTCCCAGCTCCTAAATTTAGTCAGCTAAACTATCTCCTAAATTTTAGTCAGGCAGCGTTTGGTTTGGTGCACTAATTGTGACTAAACTTGACATGTGCATGTTTAGGATGACCGAAACGCCCCTAAGCTCCTGCCCCTGGCATTTGGCCGACGGGTGGTGCGGCGAGCGGAACAAGGCCTCGGCGCCGCCTCCCCCGCCGTGGGCGCGAAACAAGTCGGCCGCGACCATCGAGGCCTTGTCCGGCCCGCTCGCCGCCGCGGCCTCCCGCCTCTCGGCCCGCTCCTATGCGCTCCCCTCGTCCCTCGACTTCCACTTCTACAACAACTTCTCGGCCTCCCTCGGCATGCTCGGCGTGGCCCCGCTTCTCCCGACGCGGCAGCAGCAGCCGTTCCCCGGGGGCGGTGACATCGACGACGCACACGACTGGCTCGTCGCCCTCAACGACGACCTGCTCGAGCGTTTCAGCGCCTCCACGAACGAGTTCAAGGCGCTGCGGGAGAAGGAGGAGGCCTCCAGGCGGAGGGCGGCGCCGGAGGCTGGGGACGGGGACGGGCTTGGGATTGGACAACTATGAGGGGCACCACCTGTCCAGTTGGGCTTTTAGTCTCTTTCAGTAAGCTTTGGGTTACTAGTTGACTAAATGCCATTTAGTCATATTTAGTCAAAACGTTTGATAAAAAAATTACTAAAAGGGACTAAAACTACTAAATTTAGAAGCTACTAGGTGAAACAAACACCCCTAACAGCTAACGGATTTGCACAAAAGGACTACAGCTCATCATTTTGGTCGTGCGGCCTGACCATTAGTATGATCTAGAGTTTCGCCGTGAACTGCTACGCCACGCGCCCACCGGTGTCCGGTGGGGATCGGCGTGCGTGCCCATCCGGCGATCCCTGCCGGCATCGGTGGCCAAGTTGACGTGCCATGCCAATGCCATCCTCCGGTCCGGTGCACCCGCATTAATTCCGTCGATCGCGAGAGCTAGCTAGTAGGTCACCTCACCACCAGTCCACCACCAGTCGCCTGGACCCGTCGCCGGCTTACCCGGTCAGCCTTCTCCGATCTGCAGCGCCTTTAAGTTCATCACTACTTCTTCTTCTTCTTCTTCTTCTTCTTCTTCTTCTTCTCTCTCTGCCTTGGAGGATTATTGCAGGGTTTGACCCATGGATTCGGGATTATACTATAGGAACAACTGTAGCAGTAAAGCCATGCATGCAAAAAGTGTATCTCCAGATGGGTCAATCGTCTCATCTTGCAGTCGGTCCTGCATTGTTTCTCTGATGAGCGCAGGCTATTCCAATCCCAACGCACAAGTTGATCCTGCATTCCTGCTGCGTCGTGGACACCATGTTGACTTTTGCTCACTGCCATTTACGGGGGTACTCCTGTCCTGTAGCTGGCCATGCATGCATGCTCCTCCTGTTTTATGGTTGGTAGAAGTAGAATGATAGGGCATTTTCCTTCCCTAGGTCCTAGGATGTACTCTACTCTACTGCAGCGTGTTGCGTGAACATCAAGTGTAGTGTAGGCTTGTAGCTTTGCTTGCTTCCATCTGTTGCAGCAATGTACTGGGGGTGCCTAGGGTACCAGTGCATCAGTCATGTGTACGCATAATCAGCACGTATACGAGTAGTACTCTCTGTCTACTCCGATCCATCATCGTCAGAACCCTTAATTGCATCTTTGCAATCGAGATCTCTACCAGGCCACCATACTAAGAGGTGATCAAATGGCAGTACTGATAAGTATAGTAACAACCACGCTTGCTTGTGTGTGGTGGTGGAGTGAGAGACAAGGAGAGCTGGATTATCCAGTCCTGGAGACTTGACGCCGGACGCCAAGTCAAAATGGGACGACCGACGCCCGATGACGGCTCTTGCATCCCCTGAAATCTGAGCTCTCTCATGGAATGGTGTGGTGAGCGACCTTTAGGGATCACGTACGCGATAGAGCAATCGTCAATTGCCAACGAGCTAGCTCTAGCATTTCATGGGCCGACTGATGTTACACCGGCCCGAGTCAGTAATAAGTCAGTAATAGTACTACCTCCTTTTGTTTTTACTAGGAGATAGTCGGCCTATTCGCTGGTTGGTTTCTGAGCTAATAAGTCCGGCTAGTGTTGGTTTATTGTGAGAGGAAAACATTGTTGACTGGCTGATAAGCCCTGGCTGAAACCAACAAGTATGTATTATATTTTGAAAAAGGTCTTTCGAGCTATAGTTTGGCCGGTAAAACCATGTATACGCCCCGTTTGGATTCTTTCATTTCGTTGGAATTGGAATCTACTTCATGAGCTAGGCTATTTGGCTTAGAATTTAATATTCCACCACTTTTAAAATCTTAATTGTAGACCTGTGTCAAATTCAAAAGGTAAAAAATGGAACGGAAATAGTAAGAAATGGAACGTAAGATTCATCACCACCTCCGCTGTCCGATCTCCTTCACTCGTCTCTTGCGAGTAATTTGGACACAAAAAGCTCTCTGTGAAGGACTCTTACCATTTCCATCAAACTCTCAACGGCACTAACACCTCAATTAAGATCTAAAATGGAATGTGATTCTTGATTCTTAAAATAAGATTCAATTCCAGAGAAACAAATAGGCCATTACACATGGCATCACTTGTTAGTTTGGTAGAGCGCACTTCTGATTCTCTGTGGGGAAGCAATTCTTTAATATGAACTGTGTAGGGAGTCGGTTCTATAAGCTGATTATTTTAGCTCTCAGACTCTTAGTTTAGTTCAAAGAAACTACCTCACATATTCAACCTGGAAGATGCTACGAGGGCTTTGCCAAAAAATGCGCTTGAAATCAATTACAAACATTTGAAAGATTTTTTTTTGAAAGAATCTATTCATATATACAAATTGTATACATCAAACATGTATATAATTTGACTAATTAATGAACAAACTTATATTGTTTGACATTTTCAAACCCTATAACGCGTACTAAAAGTGGATGCAGGGAGTATATACATGTATACAGTACTTTCTTTTTGCGAATCATATATATAGTACAAGCAAGCTTTGAGGAAACGAACATGCATGTGTGGCTCCATTGCTATCTATCGATCATCAGTTGCTGCGACAATAATACGACTTGCTCAACGTAATCGATCGGTACACGCTGACTATTTTGGGGACGACGACGTACCGTTCGCTTGAGCTTATCAGCCAGAATCAGCCCTACTTTTTAGCTATAAAAATAGTGTTTTTCTCTCACAGCAAATCAGTCCTATAAATTAGTGATAGCAGCTATATAAGTCCTAGCGAACAGAGCCTTGAGCTGCTCTCCATGCGTATATGCGCGAGTGGTCAACTAGTAATACTGGATGACATAAAGATGACACACAGCGAGTAATGTTACGTTCAAGGAGCCCTTATTCTCCTCCAAGCGCGCAGCCATGCGCGAGCTGTTCCCGGTTGGAGGCCGGCGCGTGGCTGCTCTGGCGTTCGACATCTAATGGATGGTCGTCACTCGTCGCGCGACTAGTTCTCATAAATTACAACCAGTTCTTAGTCTCTAGTCTGGAACGCCCGTGGGCTCAATAGCCGGGTGCGTCGCATAGCTGTTAGGGACATCATTGTCCAAGAACGTGTTTCTGTGTGAAAAGACCTAGGATGTCATGTAAAGGTAAATAGGTGTTTCTAAAAATTAACACCTTCAAATATAAAAACAATTAGAGTGAGAGCTTTCAAGCAATTAGAGTGAGAGCTTCCAATTGCTTGGAAGCTCTAAAATAGAGTAAACTAACCCCTCACAAACTAAACACAGAGCATATAGCAAGTACTAAACAAATACAAGAGCCATGACCTTGCAACACAAAGATTAGAACGGAGAACAACTCAAATCAGCACGAGTGATAAATACCGGACATGTCCGGTAGGTCACTCGGACATGTCCGAGATGCACGGGGTCAGCACACCAAGCTCCATACTTGCTGCCTTTGATTCCAATCTTTTCTCCAAGTTGCAGGGACCCGCCAAGAGTTGTATTTGACAAGATACACCTACACACGAGCTAGCACAAACCAAGTAAATCACAAATATCAAATGAGAGAGAATTGAGACACGATATTTGTTTTACCAAAGTTTGGACTCCGTCGAGTTCTACTCTCCGTTGAGGGGGCTACGAGCGACCTAGCAAAGGTCAACTCTAGAGGACCATGAAGGCTACTCTAGCCGGAGTCTTTTCCAACTCCTTTTCCTCCTTCCACTAGTTGATCCCTTCTCTTCGGCGGTGGAATCGAACCGTTATAAACTTTTCGAGGCACACTGTGGCAGAACCGTCTAATCTAATGCCTCATAGGAAGTGCTTGTCTTTCATTAGACACTAAGCACTCAAGGGAGACCACTAAATTACTCGGTCCCGTCGGGCACACCCCAGGGGAGAACCCGAAAATCCACATGTTTACATCAGGATCACAAATGAGAGAATAAAGCTTACATCATTCTTAGCCATTTCTTACATCACTTTTAATACAATATCAGAGTATAATATTTATTACTATGACAGCGGAATATAATCATATTATTAGAGTTATGAACAATTTAATTTAACAGCGGAATATAAACATGTGATCAGAATTACAGCGAAAATAAATATCTATTCATAGCATGATGAAACATTGATAATTGAACTATGACAACAGATTATAAACTTTTATTTATAAAAACATTTGGTGAGAGTTATAAATAAGGACTATGATCGCGTCGTAAGGAAATCCTCTTTGAGCCCATCAGGAGAAATCCACACACAAGAGTCAGCTCTAGCTTCCACCTGTCACCTGCAACAGGGGGAATAAAACCCTGAGTACTCAATTATACTCAGTAAGACTTACCCGACAGGAGAAAAGAAAAGACTCCAAGGATATGCAAGGCTATTTGACTTGTGGATTTATTGCATCCGCATGAAGCATTACTAAAAGTACGTCTTTATATTCGATTTTTATTAGTAGTGCATTAGTTCATTAACTAACCATTCTATGTAAGCACATGTACTGCTTTCAAGCAGGTGGTAAGCAATCAGATTTCATTTTCTTTCCATCTTTCATCTTCCAGTTCTTACTACGGTGCTAGACATAAGACAAGCCACACCGGATCGTCCGACGATTCACGAATCAATGCCTCCAGCTGGGTACCTCGAAAACACACGCCCCGCTTGTACCCAAGGCACAAGCAGGACCAACCCATCACTCTCCTATCCTGGGTGTCCAGGTCCCCATCCAAACTGGGACTCCAAGCCCCCGCCCCTGAGTCCCGGACTCAGTACGGTGCAAGGACCTCCTCCACAAAAAAAAACCCTGACAGTCGGTCCGAAAAGAGCCGGATCCACGACAAGAGAGCAACAAGTCTTCCAAGCGTCCATATCTAAGTATGTGCTCGGGATAATAAGTCTGTGACTTGCCTCCATGGCTTATGCAACGACCGGTCCTTAACCGACACAGACAGGGAAAGCAGTGTAACCAAGCCATGCCCCGTGTCTACGGCGACACAACCTCTTACACCCACCAATACCCAAACCATATCCCTGCACGGTCACCATTTTTCCTTTCCACCATTTATATTGTC